CTAGCTGACCACTGGCCCCTGCCCTGTCCCCCCGCCTCCGATCCACTTAATTAAGCAAAAGGCGTGAGAGCGCCCTTATAGAGGCTTACCCTCGCTCGAATTCAAAGTGAAAGCTTGACCCGTACTTATACTCGGGTCGCGGTTGGTGGAGACAGTTCGCTACAAACGTTGCAACAAACAGGTAAAAGTCCGCTAAACCATTAGACAAGATCGTTTTTTTTTTTGCTACACAAAAATCCTAAATTTCTTCGTATATCTTGTTTGTTACTACATAAAATACTTGTAAATAGGTACGGGACTTTCATCTAAATCTACACAATCCTTCACTCTATCCTAATAATAGATTAATATACGTAGACTATTTAGTAACGTACTTCAGACAACTTATTTTGGAGGTCGCGGGCTGAAAAGTTTGGGAACCCCTGCTCTAGAGCAGTGATGTTTTGGGGCTGTCGCTGGGCAACTCAGACTTTCAACTCCCTCCAAAGATTTTCTATGGGGTTGAGATCTGGACACTGGCTAGGCCACTCCAGGACCTTGAAATGCTTCTTACGAAGCCACTCCTTCGTTGCCCGGGCGGTGTGTTTGGGATCATTGTCATGCTGAAAGCCCAGCCACGTTTCATATTCAATAACCTTGCTGATGGAAGGAGGTTGTCACTCAAAATCTCACGATACAGCTCTTTGGTCTTGGCCATAGTGGAGTTTGGAGTGTGACTGTTTGAGGTTGTGGACAGGTGTCTTTTATACTGATAACGAGTTCAAACAGGTGCCATTAATACAGTTAACAAGTGGAGGACAGAGGAGTCTCTTAAAGAAGAAGTTACAGGTCTGTGAGAGCCAGAAATCTTGTTTGTTTATAGGTGAACAAATACTTATTTTCCACCATAATTTGCAAATAAATTCTTTAAAAATCAGACAATGTGATTTTCTGGATTTTTTTTCCTCATTTTGTTAGTTGAGGTAGTTAGTTAAGCTATACCTAGGATGAAATTACAGGCCTCTCATCTTTTTAAGTGGGAGAACTTGCACAATTGTTGGCTGACTAAATACTTTTTTTCCCCACTGTAACTGAACAAAGGATTCCAATGGAGGGGTTTCAGGCAGGGAGGGGATGTGGGAGATAAACTCAAAAAAGTATAATAGGTCCCCTTTAAGGTGGACATTAACAAATGCTAAAAATAATACTACATAACTTTTAAAAAGGAGCTCTGTATCATGTTATCCACTTCTTCAACTAACGCCCCATACTCTGCCTGACACACAGTGTGTTCCTTCCTGCTGCAAAGAGCTGTGACACATAATATTATCAATATCCTCATATCCATCACCTTATACACCAAAGACACAAGCTGTAATATTGCCATATACATGTTATGAAGTGTGCTAGAGGTTTTTAAATGACTCAAGAAAACATTTTTCAAACGTCTCCCTTTTTTTAAGTACAAATCAAACCTTTGTGCCCTACAATTCAGTTTACAGGTAAATAAGAGATAACATAACTAATTATTGAAAATGATAAATCAGACTTTTTTAATCATTATAATTCATAAATACAGCACATAGATTTAAACTGCAAAGCTAATTTTACTTGTTTTGAACTTCAAGAAATCAAGGCTGAAGGTCTGTTTAGTGTGTTGTCAAACTGTAAATGCCTTAGTTAAACATGTTTCTGAGGTATATGTTTGTAAAAAATCACAATGAAACATTGCAAAAACAACGAAGTTGAGCCACTACCCCATGTCCATGAAAATGGTCAAACTCAGCCTCTTATACTGTTTCTCTCAATAGAACAAATAAAAGAGCTTGAACGCTCTTAATAAGGAATAAATGGTGCCGAATGTTAGCAGCTGAGAGGCACCTAAAAGGGAAACAAATCGCTAAATACCTTCAGTAAGGTAGGAAATGAGTGAGTGGACACTTATTGGAGGAGAAAACCAGCTGCTTGAGCTTCACCTCGATATTAGTGGACTATGTAGATCGAATCATTAGCTGTTTTTTAATGCCATGCTGAGGTCTTCCATGCTGCTTTGATAGCTATTCATCAATCCTAACATCAGCGGAGAAACGTTTAAGTAATAAGAAAGAAGATGATGTAAATAGAAAGGGAATTTTTTTGTCTATTTGTATTACAATGTAGAGTACAATACAAAGTAGTGAAATGACTGCAGATATTGATTTGATAATCGCTATTCACTTGTTTATTTGACCTTCTAACCAGCAATACTACTCTGTTACTGCAACACTTTCACTAGTATTATCACACAGCATTGACCAAAAGGTAGACATCACCATCTAGTGGGCCAAGGTCCTGGATAATGATGTAAATAAATATCGGGTCATCAATCAGAATACAGAATCAGAATATCTTTATTTGTCCCACAGAGGGGAAATGTGCTCTTTCTTTGAATTGAGTCGAGAGGTCTATTGGAGTATAATCAGAGTAAACACTTTTTTTCATCATGTAGGCTCAGGCACAATTTGTTTCTTGCCCCTTTTTATTTGAACACAAACCTATTTGTTAATATGCTTTAAAAAATGACCATCTTAAAGGAATGAAGAGTACATGATACTAAAGAACAGTACTGTTCAAGGATGCGTAATTCTGATTGAATTGAACAATAACTTAAAGAGGCACTATTATGCTCATTTTCAGGTTTATACTTTTATTTTCTGCCTCTATTGTGACATGATTACATGCTTTAATGTTTCAAAAATGTCATTATTTTTCTCATACTGCCTGTGAAGGACCTCTTCTCACCCTCTGTCTGAAACGGAAGCCCAGTGTGTTCTGATTGGTTAGCTGGCCGGTTTTGTTGTGATTGGTCAACCGCTTCGAGATGTCCCGCACCTTAACCTTTCACGTAAAATATTTTGGAGCGATAGCCAATAGAAGTTTGAGTGATTCATAGTGATGGCACTATGATACTGTACATAACTGAACAAAGGATTCCAATGGAGGGGTTTCAGGCAGGGAGGGGATGTGGGAGATAAACTCAAAAAAGCATAATAGGTCCCCTTTAAGGTGGACATTAACAAATGCTAAAAAATAATACTACATAACTTTTAAAAAGGAGCTCTGTATCATGTTATCCACTTCTTCAACTAATGCCCCATACTCTGCCTGACACACAGTGTGTTCCTTCCTGCTGCTTCCCTCCAGGCACTTCATCATGTCTCTGTGTATTCCAGGTCTGGATGCAGTGGACCCGAGCTTCTTCAGCTGCTCAACAGGATCCTCCGGAATATTTTGGATTTGTAATGCTTTGAACACAGCGGGGGCAAATTTCCCATGGTGAGCGGTGGAACAAAGCACCATGGGGCATGAAGCGTCCTGCAGCCTATCAGCGACGACTTTAGCAACGGCGGTGTGTGTGTCCATGAGGTAGCCTGTGTGTGTGTGAACACTCTGGATGGCGGCCAAGCAGTCTTCTTCAGAGCACCAGCCAGCCAGCACTTCCTGCTGAATCCTGCCAAGAAGAGGCTCAGGAACCTGAAAGTGCTGCTGTCTGTCTAAGCGTGTGAACAGCTCCTTGACAAGATGGCCGTCTCCGTCCGAAACGTGGAAGATAAACCTCTCAAGGTTGGAGGATTTCAGGATATCTATGGCAGGGGAGTGGGATAGCGCCAGAGGCCGTGACCGGAGATCATACTCGCCTGTGGTGATAAAGTCGGTGATGATGCGGTTGTGGTTGGACGCACAGATGATTCTTCTTATCGGGATGCCCATCTGCTTGGCGTAGACAGCAGACATGGCGTTGCCAAAGTTACCAGAGGGGATGCAAACATCAATGGGCTCCCCGAACTTGATAACTCCATCTCTGCATAGATCCAGATAAGCTGAGGAATGGTACACCACCTGCAAAAGGAGGAATGTGTCAATTTAAATGTGTGGCAAAAGCTTTACTCCTTACTGTCCTTGAAAAAAATCAAAACATATAATAATAGTCATTTAGTGCTATGCTTGGGCGCTATATAAATCCATGTTATTATTATTATTATTATTAGTGCTTTTTATAAATCTAGATCGTTCTGGTGTTATTTTTTCAATGTTAGAGATGTATATAATTGAACTATATGGCACGCGGTTTATTGGTGCTCAAAGCGCAACAAAAATATGGAAATACTCAACTCTTGAGTCCTCTTTCCAGATATCAAGACGCAGTTACTCTCAGATAAATACAATTCTAATCCTTTGGAGCAGTTTCTTATAGGAACTATTTTCTTTAAGATGCACACATCCCTCTGCATCATGATATGGTTGAAGGGTGTAGTTTGGTAGAAAGAAAATAGTTCACACATGAAACAGCTCACAACAAGGTTTATGGAATATATAGTACGGAAGAGGATTAGGGCCACGCGAAAAAAGAAATGTGGGGATGTGAAAAAAATGTGGCCCTTATCCTCTTCCGTAATATAGTGAGCTCATGATCTTTCTTATTTGTATGGTGCTTCCAACACAACGAGATGAGTGCAAACTAGGGCTGCTCAATTAATCGTATTTTAATCGCAATTACGATTTTGGCTTGCAACGATTATGAAAACAACATAATCGAAATAATACGATTTTTTTTTTTTTATTTATTATTTTTTGTATTTGTTTTTTTAGTTGAATTATACTTAGAGTTCAGGGTAATTAACTGTTAAAAACATATTGTTCACATTCTTTTTTCAATAAATGGATGTTTTCAAAGTAAATGGATAATCGTTTTTAATAATCGTGATATCAATTATTGACCCAAATAATCGAAATTATATGATTTTGACATAATCGAGCAGCCCTAGTGCAAATTTTCCGTAATATTAGGAGAAGGGAGACAGTTCTACAGCTGATATCTTTGACTATCTGCAACCCACACTAATCCAGACTGATAAACAACACTCACACTCAAAAGTTTGAATTAATAATGTGTATTTTGGACGTTTGGGGGAACTTCACTTTTAGGAAATAACTACCTACTGCTTCCTGGGACTCTTGAACAGAAATGTTACCAGACCAACCACCAGACTCAGGGACAGTTTTATCCCACAGGCAATAAGACGGCTAAACACCGTTAAGTGCACCGATAAACCGACCTGGCACAAATCCTATTTATCATCTTGCAATCTTCTTATTTATATAAGTACATTTTGTATTTTATTAAATATGTTGCATTGTTGGAGGAGCTCAGGTCAGAATAATTTAATTGCCATTTCTACACTGTAGCTTAAGTGCATATGACAATAAAAGCTTTGAATGAATCTTTGAAACACCTTATCTTTCACAGTTATTAAGTTAAAATATCGCCGGTAAAAAAAGAAACGTTAATACAAATGTCCTACCTGTGGCAACAGTCGTGCCCAGTTGATGGAGTTTGCGGTGCTGAGAACGGTGCTGTACTCCACAGCGAGGTGACCCGTCAGCCCGCCCTCTCCAAACATCCTCTTTATGCTCCTCTGACAGAAGTCAAAGTCTGACAGGACGCTGACGGCCCTGGCGTTGCCCTCCCTGAAGCTCATCATCTGAAGCTTCTGAATCTCACTCACGCCTTCCTCTGGGAAAAACACCAGCACCCCGGTCCTGTGTGTGTCAGAGCCACTGAGCCTGCTGAAGCCACTGAGCACCGCACTTCCTGTGTCTCCAGATGTGGCTACCAGAATAAGGTAGTTGCACATCTGTGGGAGGCAATAGGCGAAGAGCTGTGGCATTAGCTGCAAGGCGAGGTCTTTGAATGAGGCAGTGGGGCCATGAAAAAGCTCCTGGATATACTGATTGTGGATGAGATGTTTTACAGGTGCTACTGCCTCACTAGAAAAGTTTGACCCATATGCCTTAAATATCATTGTTCTTAGATCCGAAGCAGGGACATCCAATGGGTGTATGCACTTTTCAAGTAAAATTAATGCTCGTTCTGGGTATGACATATGAACTAGTCGCAGCCATTCACGAGCATCAATGTTTGGGAAGCCATTTTTGGGAACGTAGAGGCCTCCATCTGTGGCTAGACCCTCCACTACCACATCACTAAAGAGTGTTTTTGATTCCACGCTGTCACTCCTGGTTGACACAAAGGTTTCCGAAGCGTGGTTCTGATATCTCTCCATAGCCTTCAGCACCTTCTCTGCTACTTCCTCCACTGTGTCCCCTGTTCCACACAGCACCCGCAGATCAAGCCATCTCTCATAAAACTGTTTCCTGTAATGCAGAATGTCCCTCATGGACGTCCCAGTCTCCTGTCCCACTATCCTGTTCACTTTCATCCTGGTGAGTCTATGTACGATGTCTTCACTGTCCACGTCCAGATAGATGACCAGTCCAGACTCTTTGATGTGTTTCATCGCTGCAGTGTGCAGAGGGTTGGAGCCTGTCAGGGAAACAACACAGCCTGAGGCAGAGAAGTTACACAAAGCATCGCCTTCTTCCTCCAGGAAACGCTCTCCGCCTACTGCTGCCAGCTTTGCAGCCACAGGCATCTTCCATGACTTCTCCAAGACATCGTCATCGACGTCGATGACAGGCAGTCCCAGCCTGTGGGCCACTATCCTGCCCACTGTGGTCTTCCCTGCCCCAGGGGCACCCATGAGCAGGATGTTTCTGTCTCCCAGCAAGGAGGCTTGGGTGGAAAGCCATGATTTTGATGTTGAAAGAGGACTCAGGTAGCATCTGACAGCTCTTAGTGCATTCAGTAAACCCATTGAGGACTCAAATGACAGCAGCCTTTTCTCCTGTGAAATAAAAAGTGGAGTTTTAATTCACATTTATGTTAGGTAAACTGGCCACCTCGTATTTTGACACTGCATTAACTTTGGACTTGTGTTACAGCCAGCTAGTAGTTAACGTTACGTGTTAACATAAATGATAGTACATGAGCAAGACACTCTGACTCACGTGAAATGGTGTCTTTCCGTACTTTAAACCCGAAAATATTGTTTGTGTGGATTCTGTGTCAACTAAACAATGTATTTGTACGGGAAAAACACCATGCAGTACCACAGGTTTCGCAGGACAGCTGCAGTAAACAACTACGGTAAGCCTGGAAGGACAAAACTGACCAGGAGTCGAAGCAGAGACGGCATAAATGATATTTGGTCACGGTTGCACACACTTCTCGTTGTAAAATTATATAACAGAATTATTTCATGTTTTATTTTTTGTAAAATCATTAAAAATTCGATAAAACGTTCTGCATGTTCGGTACGAATCTGCTTGTACGAGTGACATGTGTGCAACATTCAAATGCTTCTCAGAAAGTTGTTTTTCAGTGTGCCGTACCAGAATAAAAAGATGTGTTGTTAGTTTTATAAATAATAAGCCCACATATAAAATTAGATGTTAATGAAGTCCAGATGATAAGCCACCAACGTTGGTGAAATGCACATGTGTATCACCGATATTTTCAATGTATCGCTTTACCACTGTAATGAAATGCAGCATTTCTTCCTTTAGTTACCTAGCAACTATGCAACAGCATGTTGTCAAACAAATCTCACTGGACCAAGTATTGCTAGCGTTAGCTAATGTTAGCTCGGTCAAGTTAACTACCTTAGTCCACTAGTTTTTTCTCCTTTTTCCTGCTTGAAGACCATCAAAATGTCTAAAGCTGTGTATCCCCGAGAAAGTGTCTACAATCTCGTTCCAAAGGAAGAGGTTCATCTGCAAAAAACCCAAAGGTAGCAAAAAATAGAAACCTAAATGTTGCGTTAAAGTATGCTAGTTAAAATTAATTTAGTTTTATTAAGGTAACTAGAGAACAAGGTTGTATTTAATATTGTAGACATACAGAGCAATGCATGACTTCTTGTTGTATTTAGCTTAGATATTTCGCCACAAACGATTAAATGAGGCAAGCAAATGTTATCTGGCTCATTAACTATATTATATATATATATATTATCATTGGCTCATAACATTAGGTCCTTTTTTCGGGAATGTACAGAAATTACTAAGGCAAAATAAGTATTTGAATGTGGTTGTCTGTCTAAAGCTTCATATAAAACTGTAATCTATAGATATTTTACTTTTTACTTTTTATTTATGAGTACGTGTATAAGAAAAGCAATTCTATCTTAACCAAAAAAGTACTTCTCACTTTAATCTGTTTGATGTCATTCATGTTAAATGAAATATACAATTAATGATAATTTTCTCTATTTTGCTGGATCTGTAGGTATGTGTCGAAGTTTAGGCCGACAGTTGTTCTTGAGAAAAAGTCCACCAAGGATGCAATGAGGACGATGGGACCAGCAAAAGTAGAGGTACCAACCCCTGATAAATACCTCAAGAAGCATTCAAAAGAGCCCAAATTACCTGAACGTGAGTTCTCCTACAGACTATTTGAAGAATGTGCATGTGCGTCTTGAAGCAGGGATTCTATACTTTAACTTCATATTTATTTGTTTATTCAGAGGCGCAGAAAGTGGTTCGTAACAGCTACACTAGGAAATCAGCTGTTCCTGCAAGGACAGACAACCCACCAATGGGCTATCAAACCCAGAGAGACTTTATAAAGACAGCTACAGCGGTGCCAATGAAGCCCAAGCCTACATCTGTGGACACCAGTAAGGGACACAAGCAGCTCCTTGAGAATTCAGGACTTGTCCCCAAATACATTAAGAAAAAGGTATTTTTTCAATCATATCGCATAAAAAAATAGCAAACAGCCGAAAAAGTAAATGCAAAAAAAAGAGTATATTAAACCTTTTATTGATGAAATCCATCCTTGAGTGCTGATTTAATTAGATTAGATTCATTTATTGCCCTGTTTCCTTTTTGCAGCATTATGGAGAAGTTCCTGAGTATCTGCAGCAGCGCAATGAAGAAGAGCAGAGAGCTCAGGAGGAGTACGACATGTTTGTGGAAGAACAGAGGGAGCAGGGAGCCATGAAACATCTGTCGGATGAGGAGAGACACATCGTCCTGGAGGTACACAAACACATCGCAGCACATTTATTTCCCTGAATCAGCAGTTTCACACTGGAGGTTTATTGGAATTTGATCTGATGATTTAATGTCCTTAACATGTCAGGAAAACTATTTTACGTAGCCCTATAACTAGTCAGGATAAAATGGCTTATGCATGTTCGTTATGTCGTTTTTTAGCCACACGGCAAAATGAATACTAATATTACAACAATATTAACCACAATGCTTGAGAATAACCCCTGTAGTTGTTCCTGTAACACACTAACATTACTTCTGATTTGATGGCTATATAAAAGCTGTTAATCCATGACAGTTGCATTACTAAAATGAATGTATTGTGACAGTGATGTGTTTCTCTTTGTGTGTTCACCATGCAGGGCCTGAAGAAGAATTGGGATGAGCTGCACCATGACTACCAGGGCCTGTCACTGGTCACAGACAACCTGTCCAAGAAGGCCCGCAGGGACAGTCTAGGGACGGCGATGAGGCAGCTAGAGAATGACATCAAACTCATTGAGAGGTTCAAGACTATCTACATACCCAGTTACTGATAGGACATACAAATCTTCATTAAATCAGATGTGCTGCACTGTTTGTTTTCATACTCTCCCCTTCAAATATGACATGGGCTTTAGTAAAATACAGTTCTGTGTTTGCATATTTTTGTGATATGTCATTTAATCAATGAAATGCATATACATTTCTATCCCCAAATTATTGTCATTCAGAAAAACCTTCTACCAGGACTATTGCCATTTTAAGGTCCACCTACACTGAAACAACTGAAACGTTGACTTTAATCAAATGTATTATGTTAAAAAGATTTCGCATAACAGTATGAGGTTA